TAGGCAGACTGACAGTTGTTTTGTGTTTCTTCCATTTGCGAATGATTGCACCAACTGTTGTCACCTTCTCACCAAGCTGCTTGACGATAGTTTTGTAGCCCAGTTCAGCCTTGTGTAGGTCTACAATCTTGTCCCTGACATCCTTGGACAGCTCTTTGGTCTTTGCCAAGGTGGAGAGTTTGAATCTGATTGTTTGATTGCTCCTGTGGACAGGTGTCTTTTATACAGGTAACAAAATGAGATTAGCAGCACTCCCTTTAAGAGACTGCTTCTAATCTCAGCTTGTTACCTGTATGAAAGACACCTGGTAGCCAGAAATCTTGCTAAATGATAGGGGATCAAATACTTATTTCCCTCATGAACATGCAAATCAGTGCATAATTTGTTAGACATGCATTTCTTTTGAATTTTTTGTTGCTATTCTGTATCTCAGTGTTACAATACACCTACCATTCGATTTTTAGACTGATCATTTCTTTGTGAGTGGGCAAACATTCAAAATCAGCAGGGGATCAAATACTTATTTCCTTCACTGTATGTGAGAAAACACTGCAATTTCCACAGCCTGTGTCCCAATACTGAGTATTTTGTTTAATTTCATGATTATCATTGCAAATAATTTTCTCTTATAGAGCATTTCTGCGTGTCAAATGTGCCAAGTACACTCCATTTCTTATTCTTTAATGCACACTTATATCCACAAATAATGTTAACTCTAATGTCCCAAGATCTGTAGATATAACAAGTATCAGCAGGGATTCTCTAAAATCTAAAAATTATTTCAAGGCTTCCACCCTGTTAAAAAGATTGAGAAAGGGCTGCTTTAGCTTCTATACCCTGAGCCAGATCTGGAGGAAGTATGCAGAGTTGTTCTGGCTCAGTGATACAACGCACTGACGTCAGCAGATCTGTCACCTTGCAGTGGTAAAAGCGGAGTCCAGCTATGGCAGTTCCCACACTGCTCCTACCACGGGGAGCACCTTAAGAAACTCCAACAAATCATACAATGAGCTCAGGTAATGGAAGAGACGGAGAGATGACCAAGAGAGGAACATTTTCTACCCACCAGAATGGGACATACATGAAGTCTGATATACACAAACCTGTATATCAGGGTTTCATAACTTCATTCTTCAAGAATCCCAAGCAGGTCATGTATTCACGACTCCCCTCCGCTTTCAACCAACATTTATGGAGAGAACAGTGAAGCCTTACTAGAGTTTTATCTCTGAGACCCCACTGTTGACATGTCTCCTCTCAATTCCTGTCTGTGTGACACCTGTACAATAAATAGTGGTGCACAATGTCACAGAAAGGAAATGCAGACAGCAATAAAAACATTGTAAGGCGTTCCAAGGCTTCCTCACTCTTCTAAAAATGTGTTTCATCTATGAAAATAGTTCTCTTTAAATTCTATCTGTTCACATTTCTGCATTTTTAAGAGCCCTTTCACATTGGAGCCTTTAAAAAAACATTATGCATATTACGCTTTTAACACACTATTATTGCATTTCTGGTTTCCTGACTCCCAGCATGCAGCTGTGAAAAATGGACAAGTGACAAAAAAAAAAAAACCACACCAAAACCGCTGACACACTGTGCACTTTTGATGCGTTCCCCATGACTTACAGGGCTTTTCAAAATGCAGCGCACCCCCAAGCACAGTGATGTGAACAGTTACATAGAACAGAAAGTGGAATAGTTTTCACTGGCTTTTGTCACACCAGACAAGTGCATTGTAGCGCATCAGTGTGAAAGGACTCTAGAAATTCCAGATTTCTGTATCTTTGTGCTCTGTTTGAAAAACACACCTTCCATTATAGCCAATGGAAATGTAAAAAAAACACAGTATGCCTTTTTTTTGTGAACATTCAATTTTTTTTTCCTAAGTGACCATGGATCAAAATGCATGCAAAACAACTGTATATGCATTGCATTAAAATTTTAAAATGCTAAAAACACATATGTTTTACAAGGCACCAGTATGTGCAGGATCTAAAAGGTGGCTCCAGTGTACATATGCATCCATGGCGGCCTGATGTTTTGTATTGAGAGCGTGCACCCACCCCCCCCCCCCCCGCGCGTGCTCTGACATCTCTGGGCTTTTAACCGCTTTCCCACCGCCCTATAGTACAACTACTGCTACAGGCGGCAGGGCTGCGCAAAATCACATATACATACACGTGATTTGCATTTACGGGTAGGGGGCGCCGCCTTACCCACGCCACCATTGGCGGCTAGGGATGTCAATCACCGAGTCACGGATGGAGATTCCCCCACCGGAACTTGGCAATCGTAGGTCAAAGCTGACAGGGGAGAGACCTGTGAGTAAACTCTCTCCTGTCAGCAAGGACATACTGCTGTGTATTTCTCTGCACAGCAGACTGTTAACCCTTTGATTGCCCCAGATGTTAACCACTTCCTACCCAGTGTCATTAATACAGTGTCAGTGCTTTTTATTAGTAGTGATCACAATATTAGTGTCAGTGGGGATGCCAGTGGCAGTTAGTCAGCTCCTCCCCCCCCCCCCCCGTGTAAGTCACTGATCGCCGCCATTACTAATATATAAAAAAAAAAAATCCCAGTATATATACTGCCATTTGTAGATGTTATACCCAGTGGTGTATTTAGGTTTTGTGCTGCCCTAGGCAACACAAAAATTGTTTGCCCCAATAGACACCAACCAACACCAACCCCCCTTTCCCCTCCTGCGGAGAGAGTCTGACATTGACCAACAACACCCCTGCCCCCCACTCGGGAAAGCCTTCCACTACCCCCCCCCCCGCCATAGAGAGAAAGACACTCATCTTCAAAGCTCCGGACATCACTGGGAATGGGAGTCAGGCTCTACATACACCATCAAGCAGCCCGCAGCCTCTCTTGGATCCCACCTGGTTCCCATGGCACGCGTGTCCCTTCTTCTGGGGGGAGGTGCTGCCCCCTTGAAAAATGCTGCCCTAGGCAAGTGCCTTGTTTGCCTTGTGGTAAATACACCCCTGGTTATAACTTTCACGTAAACCAATTAACTTACACATATTGGGGTTTTCTTTTCTTTTTTTTTTTAGACATGTAGCAGAAAACATTTTGGCCTACATTTTTCAAGAAATTGGATTTTTAAAATTTTTTTACTGGATATGTTTTATAGCAAAAAAAGTCAAAAATATTGTTTTTTCATAGCACACAAACTAAAACGCAGAGGTGATCAAATACCACCGACAGAAAGCTCTATTTGTGGGAAAAGGACAACATAAATGTAATTTGGGTGCAGCATTCCATGACCGCACAATTGTCCATTAAAGTAACGCAGTGCCGTAACGCAAAAAATGGCCTGGTCAGGGGGGGGGGGTAAATCCTCTGGAGGGTAAGTGGTTAACGCAGCATTCTGCAGCTAATGCTACTGGAATTTTTTATAATGTGCAGTGTGCATGAGGCCTAAAGGGAACCATGGAGGTAGAATATATTGAAAACAAAGTGGTTAATAAGGGGTCAGTGGTATGAGCCCCCAACCATGTGACCACTGATAGCCAATCATAGCGATCACATGACAGTGCAGCCATGGACAAGGCATTAGAGCTCTCTTTAAGGGGTTAATCATGACTCCAGCCATTCCGGCTCAGGGGAATCCTGAAAACATGACCAGCTGGGGCTGCTTTTCAAAAATATATATCTATATATAATACATATATATAGATATATCTATATATATATAAAAAAACACACATAAATATATATATATACTGTATATAGAGAGGCCAGCAGCCGTGCAGACATACCCCCCCGAGGACAGTGCACACAGCCCCCTCCCCCCAGTGTTATGAGAAGTTAGTCCAGCGCTCCCAGCTCATTCTGTAACAGCGCTGATTACACGGCGCAGCACTGACAGCGCATACAAACCCATCCCCCCACCTCCCGGTACACCGTGCCTGCCCTCCCCACTTCACAGCTCCTGGGTAACAGTGACGTCACTCAGGGCCCGAGCTCTCACTCACCCGGTACTATCAGCAGCCGCCGCCATGTCACAAGCAGAAAGTCCCCGCCCCCTCCTGCGCCCAGTTCTCCGGCACAGGCGGCTCCTCTGCCACACCATTGGCCGCCAGAAGCTTCAGTCAGCAGTAGCGGCGCCCAGCCCCTCTCTCTATGGAGAAGGGAGAGGGCGGCAGTGACGTAAAGCAAGGGCGGAGCGAGGATGCCGGTGACATCAGCCAAGAGAACCTGAAGGTGCTGGAATGTCTCCGCCCAGCAGTGCGAAGAGGAGGAGTTCCTTTCCGGGCTGCGCTCCGCCCTGTGTACCACAATGTACTCGCATACGTTGGGACGTTGCAGGCCTCGCTGTGCAGTATGGTGTGTCAGGCGGAGTCGGGGGTTTAGGCAGCTGCTGGTCTGAGCTCTAGGTCACCCTGGACCAGGGGCGGACTGACAACTCATGGGGCCCCCTGCAATAGGGGATCATGGGGCCCTGTGTCCTTGCCCAAACTCAAAAAAGCCTATGAAAAAGGTACCAGGGGCATCTCATGGGGCCCCCTACTGACCCCGGGCCCTCGGGCAGTGCCCGAGTTTCCAAATGGTCAGTCTGCCCCTGGTTTCAGCCCTCGTGTGGACTGACAACTCATGGGGCCCCTGGGCAATAGGGGATCATGGGGCCCCTGTGTCCTTGCCCAAAATAAAAAAAAAGCCTATGAAAAAGGTACCAGGGGCATCTCATGGGGCCCCCGAGCAATAGGGGATCATGGGGCCACTGTGTCCTTGCCCAAACTCAAAAAAGCCTATGAAAAAAGGTACCAGGGACATCTCATGGGGCCCCAGGGCAATAGGGGATCATGGTGTCCCTGTGTCCTTGCCCAAACTCAAAAACGCCTATGAAAAATGTACCAGGGGCATCTCAGGGGGCCCCTTACTGGGGGTTCCTGTGCAAATAGGGGATCATGGGGCCCCTGTGTCCTTACCCAAACTCAAAAAAGCCTATGAAAAAGGTACCAGGGGCATCTCATGGGGCCCCTCACTGGGACCCCCGGGCAATAGGGGATCATGGAGCCCCTGTGTCCTTACCCAAACTCAAAAAAGCCTATGAAAAAGGTACTAGAGGCATCTCATGGGGCCCCCTACTGACCCCGGGCCCTCGGGTAGTGCCCAAGTTTCCAAATGGTAAGTCCGCCCCTGGTCAGAAGTGACATCTTGCTTACTACTCTGCATGTGATCACTGATTTACCAATCAGTGATCACATGATCGGGGCCTCGCACAGAGGTCCCGTATGACGATTGGTGTTCCATTGTGTCCGGAGGACACAGCGGGCACTGGATCGCGGCGCTGCATGCTCCCAGGCAGCGCACACAAGCAGGGGGCGGGGAGCCTGCTTATAAACGGCCACCCGCCCCTGCACTGCCACCGTCTGGCTGTTTACATACAACGGGCAGGACGGGAGGGGGTTAAAAACATTAAAAAAACGCATCTATCCAGTGTTTGAGTGTTTTTAAGCTTCAAGCTTTTGTGGGAGTATAGTTTTGCTTAAAAAAAATGCTAAAACCCACAAATGCTGAAAAATGCTAAAAAAAAAAAAAAACGCTGAAAAAAGCTAATGCAAAGATGCTTAAAAACGCAATAAAACTTGTGTTTTTAACCACATTCTGACCGACTTATAGCAGATCTACTGCTTCAAGGCAGCAGGGATGTGAAACATCACCTGTGTATATACAGTATACCTGATTCTATATTTCCAGGTAGGGGGTGCGCATGAACTACACATGCGCCCTACCCGTGCTGCCATTCACAGCTGTCAATCACCGGGTCCTTGGCAGTGATTAACCACTGGCACCTGGTGATTACCAAGCATCTCCGATGGGGAGGACTGCTTTGTTTGCTAACAGTCCTCCTCCCTTTTGTCTCCTGTACACTGCTGCTGTTGTGATTTTGCACTACACAGCCCCCTCCTCCAGATAACCCTTTTCACACCCAGATGGTAACCCCTTCCTCCTGCCATTAGTACAGTCTGCATAAATAAAGTGTGCTTAATGAATAAAATAATAAAATAAATATCAGGCTATGGAGCGCAGAAAAAAAGGTGATTACAAGTGATAACAATGCACACACACAGCCCCTAGTAGAAAAACTAAGGATATGCGCATATGACCAGAAATCCCTCACAGATAACCCTCTTGATGTGCATCTTAGGAGGAGCCCAGAGCGTGACGTGTTAACCCTTACTTTTGGGTCAGTTCCTGCCCAGTGTTTCCACCCTGTTTTTAGTACAATAAAGTCAGTGCTTTTTATTAGCTATTGCCACTGATCACTGTTTAATCAGCCCTGAGTGGACTCCTGGATCTGGAAACTGTCACAATTAGAGGGAGCATCAGGATGTCCAGTGGATATCTACACCACTAGTCAGGGATTTCGGTGGTCTGTTTGTCATAGCATATCCTTGTCCGGTGAGTGCCGCAATTCTACCATTTGATCCTGATATATCCAGCTTTTTACACACAGGATCCTGCGACATTTTGTCTGGACATTGTTATGTTTTTTCACTTGATGTATTAGTCACCTTTTTTTCTGCGTTATTTATCATAGTTTGTGTCCCATACCTTGATCATCTGAATATTTATTTTATTATTTTATTCATTAAGCGCCACACTTTATTTATGTATATTTTCTGAAGGTTTGCTGAGATTACCTTATGTGCTTTGGCTGCTGATTGGAGAGCGCTCACTTTTTTTCTTTTTTCCAGTGCTTTTTATTAGCACTGATCACTGTATTGGTGTCACTGGAGATGTCAGTGACACCAAGTCAGTTCCCCCCCCAGTGTCAGAATGCCCGCCGCAGTCCCGCTATAAGTCGCTGATCGCTGCCATTACTAGTAAAAATAAAAAAAAAATCCCTGTATATATACCGCCATTTGTAAATGCTATAACTTTTACATAAACCAATTAATTTACATTATTGGGAAATTTTTTAGCAAAGACATGGAGCAGAATACATTTTGGCCTAAATTTATGAAATTAGATTTTTTAAATTTTTTTACTGAACATGTTTAATAGCAAAAAGTCAAAAATATTGTTTTTTTCCTCAAAATTGATGGTCTTTTTTTATAGCGCAAAAAATAAAAAATGCAGAGGTGATCAAATACCACCGAAAGAAATCTCTATCCGGGAGAAAAAAAGGACATAAATTTCATTTGGGTGCAGTGTTGCATGACCGCGCAATTGTCAGTTATAGTAGCGCAGTGCTGTAATGCAAAAAATGGCCTGCTCAGGAAGGGGGGTAAATCCTCTGGAGGGCAAGTGGTTAATCTGTGTACACAGAGAAGGTGGTCAGCTCCAGCTGGCAAACAAAAAAAAAGCAGTCTGGTAGAGTTTATAAATAACACTTTCTCAGAAGCTACAGAAAGATACAATGTAACATATTGTTACCTTTATTGTTACTTATGTATCATTCTGTTCATTCATCTGCAGATGAAAGGGATAACCTTCCATCTGCAGATAATGTCAGGTAAAGCAACCTGACAAATAAAGTTGTTTTGGCTTTTTGTTTAGTAAATGTTTAACCCCTTATTATCCCTTAGTTTATTCTAATCACCCCTAATTAACTTCTTATTCTCCTTATCCATCCAATTTTTATTTTACTGCTGCTTTTTTTTTCGTTCATTTCTACTTTATTAACCATTAATATTTTAACTTTTTTTGTTTTTGTCGTCACTGGGGATGTCAGTGACACCAAGTCAGTTCCCCTCAGTGTCAGAATGCCCTCTTCAGTCCCGCTATAAGTCACTGATCGCCGCCATTACTAGTAAAAAAAAAAATTCCAGTATCTATACCAATTAATTTACACATTTTGGGATTTTTTTTTTTTAGCAGACATCGCAGAATACATTTTGGTCTAAATTTTTGCTGAAATTTGATTTTTTTTTTTATTTTTTACTGGACATGTTTAATAGCAAAAAGTCAAACATTGTTTTTTTTCTCAAAATTGTCGGTCTTTTTTTTTCATAGCGAAAAAATTAAAAATGCACAGGCAATCACATACCACCAAAAGAAAGTTCAATTTGTGGGAAAAAAGGATGTAAATTTCACTTGGGTGAAGCATTGCATGACCGTGCAATTGTTAGTTAAAGTAACACAGCGCCATAGCACAAAAAATGGCCTGGTCAGGAAGGGGGGTAAATCCTGTGGAGGGCAAGTGGTTAATGCAGCATTCTGCAGCTGATACTACTGGCGTTTTTATAATGTCCGGTATGCATGAGGCCTAAAGGGAACCATGGAGGTAGAATGTGTTCATATGTTATTTTTTATTTATATCAGGTACTTATATAGCGCTGTCAATTTATGCAGCTCTTTTACATATATATTGTACATTCACATCAGTCCCTGACCCTCAAGGAGTGTACAATCTAAGGTCCCTAACTTACTGTCATACATACACATACTAGGGACAATTTAGACATGATCCAATTAACCTACCTGCATGTCTTTGGAGTGTGGGAGGAAACCGGAGTACCCGCTGGAAACCCACACAGGCACAGGGAGAACATGCAAACTCCAGGCAGGTTGTGCCGTGGTCGGGATTCGAACCAATGACCCTAGTACTGCCAGGTGGAAGTGCTAACCATTTAGCCACTGTGCTACCCATAATGTTGAAAACCTTCCCTCTGTGTATAGTCTGCAATGATATGTGTACATGGAGCTGGCCTTTAACATGTGCAGGCTATGTCTTCTTCCTACTACCAGCATGCTCTAATGCTGTGAAACCCCTACAATCACCTGGGAACTAGAGACCATGTGATTTAGCTGCCTAGGTTTTAGGCGGGGCTGGGACAAGGGGTAAGCAGGAGGGGCAGCTGCCCTGGGCACTGTGAAGTGCAGGTGCACCACAAAGAGATTGGGGGGAGGGGGATTTTGTAGGAAGGGGGGGTTAGGGAGTAAGAATTATTATAGGAGGGGTCATTTGTGGGGGTTGTGTGCTAGAAAAGGTAATATGGTGTGGGGGGGGATGATTTATAATAAGAGGGGGATATGTGCTAGGATGGAAGATTTGTTGAGGGGAATTTGGGCTGGTAGGGGTGCTTTGGAGTGGGGGGAAGAGGATTTGTGCTAGGAGGGGAAATTGGAAGGGCAGAGGATTTGTGCTAGGAAGGGGACTTTTTTGGGCGGGGCATGTATGATGGGGGCACATAAGGAGAGGATTTGAGCTGGGGCGATGGGGAACAAAGAGTTTTACTGGTAGAGGGATTTCAGCAGGGGCAGATTTATACTGGGAGGAGGGGGAAATTTGTGCTCGGCATGCAGATTAATGCTCAATTTGTTTTAGGGGGAAGAGGATTTGTGCTAGGAGGGAAATTTGAAGGGCAGAGGATTTGTGCTATGAAGGGGACTTTTTTTTTGGGGGGGGGGGGAGGGATGTGTGATGGTGGCACATGGGGAGAGAGAGGATTTGAGCTGGGGGGGTTGGGGGACAATTTTGCTGGGAGAAGGGATTTCAGCAGGGGTGGATTTGTACTGGAAGGAGGGGAAATTTATGCTCGGCATGCAGATTAGTGCTCAATTTGTTTTGGTGGGGAGGAGATTTTTGCTGATACGTGCTCATACATCTTGATTGGGGGGGGGCACAGTTTGGCATGTTCGCTCTGGGCTCTAGATGACCTTGTCCCTGCACTGGTTGTAGGTTACCTAGGGAGAGCACTCATCATAATCATGATAATATTACTGAGGCTGGATATGATGTGCACCTAATGCACTCCTGCAAGGTGGGAATTTTAAAGCTGAACTCCTGGCACAAAACCTTTCTTTTAAATCTATTTCTCAATAGCCACAAAGGTTATAAATCCACATTGTGTGCACCAAATGCCTTTAAAAACTCAGATATTACCTTGTAAATATATCAGTGACACCATCAGTGTGCTGTACATAGCGTGTGCAGAAAGCAGAGCTGTGCGAGGGGCCAGCAGGCTCCACCCACACTACAGGCTACCTAAAGAAAAAAGTGAAGGGGGTGCATACAAGACCAGTCACCTGCACAAGGAGAGAGGGCAGCAGTGATAGGTCTTTATTACAGGAAGCTCCTACACAGAGGTAGATATTCACACTGGATTACAGCTCAGATCTGGAATAATTACACAAAACACATCGAGATTCAAGTAGGAATACACATGACAATATTTAGACAATATTTGCCTATGCTAGCAGTCAGTTTTAAAACAGAAGTATGG